GGTCCATAAAACCTATTTATTGAGTTTTATAGGACACCTTCTCGCCCAGCAGATGGAATATTTTATCTCTGGCCAGTCAAAAATAAGTTCTAAAACAAAGTACTAGATTACTGTCTTGCCTAATTTTTCTAAACAGTTACATTTGGGAATCATTTTAATGTGTTATGGCCCTAGGAAGAATTTATTGTTGCAGTATCATTTCTTCATTCCTAGAAGTATTTTAGGTGTTTGCAGATGCATTAGTTTGAGCTTATCTTGCCTGTTTGAAAAATTAACTGAATCCTTTCTTTGTCAACAAAGTGTATAAGAGAGGCTGACAGAGCAGCTGGGCCTTGGCATCCTGGCCAGACGCTGAAGTGCATGATGTTGGCAGCTGGTCCTGAGGATGATTTTTCTTGGCTCATACTGTGTCAGGCAGTTGGAATGACTATCTCTGCTTTTTCTAATCTGAATAGTTGTCAGTGCAGTGGGAGAGAAGACTGCTTTGGTCATTCTTCGAGAAATTTCTTAATCTGTTGCCTGTTCCTGTGGCAATGAACCATAAACATTCCTACTTTAGAAAGCACTATTTTTTTAAATAAATCTTTAATAAATATACTGTTTGAGAGTGGGTAGTGGTCTAAAGGTATCAGTGTGTCCAAAGGGGACAAAATGAAGTAAAGGAGATGTTAGTTCAATATGGACGTTAAAGGCATGGGGCTTGGTGTATTCTTGGAACCACCACAATTTCTAGGATAGTCTGAGAAGGTTCCTTAATCTCCCTGTCCTCCATGTTTCTGTTTTTGTGTGTATATAATGGAGAGAATGGTGGCCATCATCCCTATTTCATCCCTTTAAGAATTAAATGAATATATGCACATATATCATGTAAATATGCACATCTGTATTGCTAGGCATATCATTAACATCATATTGAAACATAATAAATCATTGTTTACTTTTCATGGTTATTAAGTACTTTTGCTTAGACCTAAGGTTTAGAGTGGAATGTATAGTTATGAAAATAAGTCTATATAAAAATTGCTCTCTTCTTCCGATGGTATATTTTCAAGTAGATAAATGAAGATTTATAATTATGTCATGTCAGAGCCCATTCCCAGAGTTAAATATTAAACTGTTTGATATATCACATTACAGTCCTTTTCAATGCATTTTTATAAATATAATTACATATGTTCATATTTCATTTTTATCTTTTAAAAGAGGTAGCAAAATGTATTATTCTTTTGCCAGAATAATAAACTGAACCATGTATTCAGAGCATCAAATATAGAGCTAGGCTAGTACTTTTCAATACATGAAAAGTACATGATTGAGGAGAGAATTCTTAGAGCTCAGTACATGAGGAATTTGAGCCAGTGCTAACACTTTTCCTTAAAACTACATTGGGTCTGTTGTAACAAGCCCTCCAAATGTTTATGATGTACACTAAAGTTTGAGAACCTCTGAAAAAGATTATTATTTTTACAAAAATTGAATTGTACTTTGTATGGGTGCTCTAAATTTATAAAATTATCATATTGAACAACATTGAGTTATTATAGATTTTCACTATTCCAAAAAATAACTCAATTCTCTGGTACACATATGTGTTTGAGTGCATCCATGTTATCTGGTGTTGCTATAGAATAGTTCCCTTCCTCAAAATGAAATTATTAGTCAAAATATACTGAAGTTTGCACTTGCTACTTTAGTACAAGAACTGGGGTATAGGTTAGAGGTGCAGGGGCGGTGAGAGGATTCACCAGAGACTTAATGGGGAGCAGAACAGGCCATCTGAAGAAGTGCACTGCTGAGGGGAGTAGCGGGCGGGTCAGGAGAGGAACGGGCGGGTCTGTGGAACCATGTGGATCACCTGGCTGGTGGGGGGGAGGGAGTGGGGACTGAACTCACACTGAGGTGGCTTTAGCCTCTTAGTGCTATGCTTTCACCTGCTGTGCCATTAAGGAGGGTCACGGGTGAACCTTTTAAAATATTTTCCAAATTGATGTGAGCAAGTACATTACACCTAAAACATTTAAGTTTGTTTTTTTAATCATTAGTCAGCTTGAGAATTTCCCCACAGATTTATCAATCATTTTTAATCTTTTGATTGTTTTAATATACTATTTTCTTATTGATTTGCTCTTTGTCTTCTTGTAGTATTGTGAGGACTTTATATAAATTGTTAAGTAAATTTAATATCTGCTAAACATGCTTCAAATTTTACCCTCCAATTGTATATGTGTATGTGTGTTTTAGCTTTGTTTGTTATTTTTTTAAATTGATGAATCACTTTAATCTTTTTATTCAGGCTTCTAAGTATGGTACTTATTTTATGAAGGTTTCCTTTCAGTTTTATTGTTTTTCCCTAATATTTCATAATTATTATATATTTGATGATTTAGTCTTCTGGTATTTGACTTCTATTCTTTCTCTCTGCCTCAGTCCAAACAAAACAGTCACAATTCTATACAACAGCTTTAAAAAATGCTAATTGTATCATAAAAAATTTGCCTAATTCTATTCCATTATTCTAACTGTGTTTAGTTTTGTCAATAACTTGTTTATAGCTTTATTTTTTAATATTTTCTTAGT